GGGTGAGGTCAGAAGCAGAGGTAAAGCAGTCCAGGTTACTGAGACAGACATGACAGACACATGCTTTGTGATGTTCCTGGTGAATCTGTGTCAGCTTTTTGAGTCTTCTTATCACAACACCATGACCAGAAAAAGCTTGTTATCTTAGTGATGGATCAACCAAACACTGTTTGCCACCCAGGGCCATACCATGGGCTATCGTTGTTGATGGAGTAAGGGTTGGAAGCCACTTTAAACTTGAATAAATATACTTTCAGATGGTAGAAACCCTATAGTGTTCTGGCTCAAGTGAAGGTTAAATTCTCAGGATGTCAGCCATTTATACTCCTATAGTGGTTCATGCCCATAAAGACCTAGCACCAGACCAGTGCTTTGCTGACATCAGAGAGAAATAGATGAGAAAAAAAAAATCTCAGAATGCTTTTCAGAGTTAGTCATTCAAAAACAGCCTAAATATTCATCCAATGATTTTTAGCCAAAAAAATTTTTTTAATAAATAATAGTCTGGATCTATAGAATATAAGCTCCACAAATATCAATTCTATTCTTTATTTGACTGTGAAATTATTTTTATATTTTGACAAAAATACTTTTCTGATCAAAATATAAATGCATATACTTACTTTGTTCTGATTCTATGTTGTTGGAGGGCTTTTTCTAAGTTCTCTAGCTCAAAAACATTTTCAAAGCTTCACCTTTAAAAAGAATCCAGAATGACTAAACAGAAAACTATTATTTTAAAAACTTGTCTAGACCATTTAAATAAATCAACACATACTTGCTCCTCGCTTAGAATCTTCACGAAGCCTTTCTCCCTGCCCGGCTCCTCTGACAGAAAGAGGCTTTCTGGTGTGACCAGTCTCAGTAAATGGAAACGGAATAATCATGGCCAAATGCAGCCAAGTAAGCCAGCTCGGGCGATCATTCCTTGTTTTACAACATGTGAACGTGGGTCCATAAGGAGCAGGTACCTGGCTCTCATTATTCCATGTCCTATTGGAGGCATTGTAGCAGCCTGAGTTCTCATTTTTTAAGGTCTCTTTTTTCTTTCTAATATACTTAAATTATAAAGACTTTTTAGCATAGTACTTTTATCATTGTTCCTAATAACTGACTAGAAAATTTAGCCTACTAATTACTTTTCTCTATTTTTGCCTTAATAATCAGGGTTAGCATTTACTGAAGGCTTATTTGCACCAGGAATTGTTCTAAGTTAGTTTATTGATTCAGTGAGACAGAAGCTATTACTTATCTGCATTTAACAAATGTGGAAACCAAGTACAATGCTATCTAAGTCATATTTTGAGCCAAAATACTATGTTGCCTTACACATTAGATTTTTAAATGTTAACATTATTCTGTAATAAACAGGAAGGCCATATGTAATGATTTGGTTTAGCAATTGATTCTATTTTAAGTAGAACTAAAAAAATTTTATAACACTCTTTAGGTGCCAAGCCTGCTGCAAACACTCTCTTCAGGTATTAATTCATTTAATCTTTGCTCCAGTCCTGTGAAGTAGGTACTGTTATTATCCCCTTTGTATGGGAAAGGAAATTGAGGCACAGAGAGGTTGAGTAGCTTGCCCACGGTCACCCAGAGAGTATGATAGAACATTGGGGGGGCAGTGAATATGCCAATTATTGCAATTATTTTAACATTGTAGACCTGCCATTGCTGTTTGCCTTTAAAAAAAGTCTTCCATCTTCCTTATGTTTAGCAACCTCAGTTACACGTAACGGGTGACAGTGGGGGATGCCATCACCTCTAAAATCCCTACCAATGATTTGGTACAACAAACCCTGCTAAGTCACACAGGAAAAAAACCTTGTTTATGCCAATCTAAAGACTTAAACTCAAACTCCAGCATTTAAACTGGCTGTACATTCTAACACTTCCTATGCATCTCCAAGAGACTGGTTTCCGGAAAAGTATCTAGCAGTAGAAAAGTATTAGCTAGAAAAATATCTAGCTAAAATGTAGAAAATATTTTGTTTATCTCCGAAAGTGCCAATTTCAGCTCGGCATCTGCCAATAGGTTCAGATTATCTCAATGCTGGAATTCCTGCCTCCCCCATACACCAGCTGTGCAACCCAGGCAAATACTCCATCATTCTGATCTGAGCACCTTTCTCTGTAAAATGGGGATGATAATAATTGAACCTCAGTAGAGTTGCTGTGAGAAGTAACTGAAATAATGTCTGTAAAGCATGTACAACAGGCCTGCAACACAGTAACTAGTGAATAAAAATTTAGCATTATTATTTGAGAATACCTTTTCTCTTAAGAAGGGGAAAGATTATGAACTCCAACTATTCTAATAGTTGTGGAGGATCCCCCCTGGGTTCTGATGAAAGCCAATGTTTGGAAAATTGGGCCTATTGTTTTTATCTTCAGGAGCAAAAAAAAAAATCGACTTAAACTGCTCAATGGTTGACAGATGTGATTCGATACTGAACTATATTAGTTTGCTTACTAATACCAGATGCTTAATATCAGAAGGCCTGTGTTCACTAGATCAATATGAGTTAGAAGTATATATTTAACCTTATTAAATTAACTAGGCAATCAGTATCATTTAGTCAATTGGTTAGACTGGATTTCCTAAAGTCTGTAAGGGATAGGTATTAATCTGCATCCCCCTCTTTGGTTAAAAAGTAGTGGCTTTATTATTTGCTAAATGTCTTACAGTACATTTCCTGAGGACCGGAAACAGCATTTTAGGTCACTAGAACTTGTTTGTCCTTTTAAACAACTCATTGATACAGTATATTAATTACCCAGTAATTTAAACAACTTACCAATATGCCAGGTAATAGAGAAGAAAGCCTAAGGAAATCTGAAGTTTAACTGAGACTTGAAATTTAACACTACCTGGAGGTCTGATTACACTTGCTTGTCACCCTTACCAGTGGAAACTCACTTTTGCTATATAGAAGAGCCAAATAAATCAATCCATAGCTTTAAAGTGAGTTATATTAGCTTAATGCAGATTCAATCTAGGAATAAAGTAGGTCCTTTTACAACTGATTACTGCCTGTTACAATAAACGGTAGTTTATTAAGTATATTCACTTTGCAAAGTTGTATGTGTAAATATGATATATCTGGGACAAAACAAATACCCTGAATTTAGGTAAAGCTTTGAGAAGTGAAGGCAATGATAGAGATTCTATCATCCACCAGAGACCCAGAGGGATTAAGTGATTTGCTTTAGGTTCTGAAGGATAAGTCCAGATTTTGGCAGCGGCTTTCTTGAGCTCAAGTTGAGAGAAGTCCCACTCTTTTACAACATGCATTCAACAACATTTTATGATGATAATTACAATAACCATAATTTATTGGGTACCTACTCTGAGCCAAGTACTCTGTTTGGCTCTGTACTTAAAACTCTTTGTCCTCACCTCATAGCTCTTTGAGGTACGTCTAGTTGTTTCCACTTTACAGATCAAATGACTGAGACTCTGCATTGTGACTTGTTCAAGGCAACCCGCTAGCAAACGCCGAAAGCTAGAGTCTCACTCTTGCATCTGCACTCTTCCCACTGGACCCACTGCTTCATTCATGGGGACCAACATGACTACATCTTTAACTGGATTTTCTTTTGAAATTAGTATTTTAGCCTATTGCAATGATAGCCCTGGCTGCATGCAACTGCAGAACTTGTAACCAAACGGCTGGGAAAAAAATACCATTACCAATATTAGCTCACATTCAAAGAAAAGGGCATCAGAATGGTACATTATTTGTCAACTCTTCTTGAAAATTAACTCACTGACTTTTAATAAAATCAAATGTAAAAAATATTCCAAATTATTAAAATATTATCTCTTAGCTTACCTAGGCCATGGATTCAAGACTATGAACTTGAAATCAAAAAGCAAATATCCAACTCCTAGAAGATGAAAAGGGAATATTAAGCATGGTACTCTGCAAATTAATGCTTTGAGGTAAACTAGAAGTAGTATTGAAAATTACTATTTATTTAATGCTTCATTCTGTTTGAAAGAGAAACTCCCACATGATCAATACTACCTATATTTAAAAATTTAAAAATATACTGGAACATGACTGAGTGAGGATGGCACTGAGCACTTTGGGGACAATAACTACAATCATAGTAGTAGCTTCTTAGCAAAATATTTTAGATTTATTAGCCAAACTATTAAATGTTTAATGTGTGTTAGAAGCATTAGTTCCAAGGAAAAATGAGGCAATATTATGTGTAACTGTTTGGAAACTTTTTTATTAAAAAAGATTTTTAATATTAATGCTATTTTCAATACAGGTGTGATAATACTCAATAAAGTATCTTGTACTTATATAGTGAATTTAGAAATGTAACAGTCCACATAGATGCTGGCCCCTCCCTCTTTATTAGCTACCCTAGTAGCGAAAAGTACATATCCCTTTAAAAAATAAAGAGGTCTTTGGGCAGTTGGATGAGCAGAGTGGGGGCAAGGAAAGAGCTCTTTCCAGACATACTCATGTGTTTGGCTTTGACTTCATTTAATCATGTCAGTTCTGAGAGAACTGAATCGAACGCTTCTATGCTCTGCAAAAGCATAGGAGAAAAAAGCTTGTCATTCACAAGCAGCTATGGACAAAACCAGAGGCAGAGTAGAGGGATTAGGGAAATTAGGGATTCAAAAAAAAAAAAAGTTAAAGTGCACAGTTACTGTCAAAAATATATTATTTTTATCCTAAGAAAATTAAAAGCATTTCATCTAATGAACTAGATTGCTGACCTTTTAATACTTTTGGTTTTCTGGAACATACAATCACCATTGGACATAAAAGACTAGTTTGCTTTGTTTAAAAAAAATTGCTTGGAGTTATCTACAGGAATCTTGCGAACACAACTCAAGGATAACATTCTGAAGCTCTTTGGGTATTGGATGATTTCCTCAGATAAGTCCACAAGGAAAGAGGGAACTGTTCAGTTCACTGATTCAAGTGGGCATATTTTCTCACTCCTTTTCGCCCTATCTCCTTCTTCCCCTAAGTGCCAGTACTTTCCAGCTCTCTGTCCTCTACCCCTAAGGCGTGAGACCGGGAAATCATGAAGAGTTTCTCCTTATTTGTAAACTGCCTCTGCACTGGCTGAGGTGACTGGGCCTTGGGAGGCCCTCGGCTGGGATCTTCCAGGGGGCTCTCTGGACGACTCTGCTCCTCCGCACCCTGGGCGATAGTAGACTCAAAGTCTTGACTTTTACTGTCTACTTCGTCCACAACCGACTCCAAGGAGGTGCCGGCCTCCCGCAGCGGGGTGTAGCCCTTATTACTGCAAGATGGGTCACCGGAGTGGGAGCTCGGCGAACCCAGCCTGGCGGGGGGCGAGCCCTCCAGTCGCAGCGGGGGCGAAGGGGAGGCAGCTTTGGCTGGCAGGTTCGAGTCCAGGTCCACGCTGCGCGAGGAGGGCGGGGGCTCCGGGGACAGCGACGCCCGGTAGTCCGGGAGCCCGCTGGTGCTACGGCGCCTCAGAGCGCTGTACTTGCCGGTCCTGGGCAGCGGGCCGCCCTGCCCCCTGGCGGTGTGCGTTGCCGCCGCGTCCCTGGGCTCCTCTAGCTCTCCGGGCGCCCAGCGCGCGCCACTGAGGTTACCGCGGAGGTCGGTCAAACTCAGGTCGAGCTCAGCCCTCGGGATCTCCTGGGAGCCGCGTTCCCCAGGCAGTCTCCGCCAGCTGCAGCTTGCGCCCTTCGTTTCCACATCCCCGTCGCGGTCCCCTTGCAAGGGTAACAGTGCAAAGGCGCTCAACGAAGAGTCCACGAGGGAGCTGGCGGTGCTCTGGCGCCCCCAGCTCTCAGGTGGGCTGCAGGGTGCCGGGCTGCTGCTGCTGCTGGCGGCCGCGGTGGCGGTGGCAGCAGCGGCCACAGTGGCGGTGGCAGCAGGCCGGCGACGGCCAGGCACGCACGAACGTTCGCGGTAGATGCTGTACACGGCCTCCGCCAGGCTCGGGGGCTCCCGCGGGCTGCGGGGGGATGAGGCCAGGTCTGGCGGAGACACGGAGCCCCTGGCGACGCCGCCGCCCCCGCCCAGCGCTGTGGGGTGGGGCCATGAGCCCCTGGCTAGCATCGCCGCTGCCCCGAAGGCGTCCCCAGTGCCGCTGCAGCTCCCAGGCTTCAGTTCCAGGCCCCGCGACTGCACATAGCTGAGGAATCCGTTAAGTGGTGCTGCCCCGGAGGGCGCCGAGGTGGGCACCGAGGACGAGGAGGCCGCGGCGGCTGCGGCCGCGGCAGCGGCCAGGTCTTTAGCCCGGAGGCTGTGCACGTCGATGACCGTGGAGTAGAGGTCCCGCAGGTTGATGATCTTGGTCTTCTTGTCTCGGTTCTCGTGGAGCACCGCGTTGGCGCAGATGAAGAGGAAGATGCCAATACCCATAATGAGGGGCCCGAAGACCTTGAGCTTGTCAGAGTGCAGGTAGCCGGAGAAGATTCGGAAGAAGAAGCCCACAGACGCAGAGGACGGCGAAGGGGCAGTGGAACGTGCTGGAGGTGTGCTCCTGGGCGCGCCCACGGAACTGGAGTTGACACCCCCCACAGAACCCAGGTGGCCCTGCTTTTTGGGGCCGCTGCTGCTGTTATTACCCGTGGTTGAGACTTGGTGGCCTCTGCTCGCAGGCGGCAGCTGCTTACCCCCCTCCTTATTGGCCCCATTGGCCTTGGGCCAATAGCCGACCACTGCCAAGGCTATGCCCACCAGCAGCACCAGGATCCCGCAAAGGGCGATGAGCCCAGAAATGGAGCATAGCTTCAGCTTGCCTTTCACCACCACCACGTCGTTCTTGCGCCTCTTCTTGGCTTTCCGCTTGCGCTTGGGAACCTGGTTCGGGGGGCGGAGGGGATCCTGTTTTCTGGCGGAAATCCTCAGTAGGCCCCCGGTGGCGATCATGGCGAGTGGGTGGAGTGAGGGACTAATCCCTGGGGCGGAGGCTTGTGCAAAGGGGGCGCCACTTGCTCACTAGCTGCTCCGCCACCTCTTCCGGCTGCAAAGCAGAGGAAGACAATCAGAGGGTATACACTTGACTGTAACGACGTGCTGCGCGCTGCAATTGTCCCGCTCCCCCATCCCTCCACATGTAGTGCCCCCTACCCAAGGTCTTTACCCAACAACGAGAGTGCGGCTTATAGAGACTAGTGGGCGGGGCGGATGGACTAGGGAAGGGAAGCATTGTTGCAAAAATTGATGAGGTGATAAAACACGTTGAGTGAAACTTTCTCGCCCCCGCGCCTCCATTTCACACACACCCTTTAGGTAATATTCCAGCTTGTTTATTTCAAGCCCTCCTGGCTGGCAGCCAACACTGTTCTGGCCATTAGCAGAAACTAAACGTGGGGACTCCAAGTAGTAGTTGAGGACTTCCCAGGCAAAAATTATCCCCTTTGTACTACTGAAAGCAGAAGATTCCCAAGGGAGCTGCCACAGGAGTCTCAATTCTCTACCTTAGCCAAGATTTTGTCAAGGTTCGGCCCAAAGTCACTAAAACAGCCACAAAAGTTATGTTATGAAGACAAAAGGAATTCATTTCATACATATGCTGGCAAGCAGACAGCTTATTTACCTCAGGTAATTAATAGAGATCCCATTGTTGGGAGAACGCCGAAGAACTATGTCAATATTCTCACAATAAGTATCTGCACAAAGTTGTCTTCCACCTATAACTGTTTCTACAGCTAAAGGCAAGCAGAGCCCTCTCCCAGCCTTTCCCTCATCTCTTTTCTGCAACATCTGGACAGCTTCTTGGGGTGGAATATTTAGTTTTAGGTAACTGGTTATGTAACTGAGCTCTTCCTTCTGGCTTCCTCTCCTCCCTCAGAGGAACTCCCTTATAGGTATCATATGCTAGATCTCTTCAGGGAATTTGAGAGCTCCCTAGAATCTCCAAGAGAAAGATTTCTTTCTCCTATGGAAAAATTACGACCTTAAAACAGAAAATTCACCAGTGTGCCATAATAGCTTTTTGACCCCTTTATTAATGGGCCAACACTTTTGAGAATCTCAAAATTCAAATGAGTAGGCAATTAACTAGGTACAGCATAATAATGATGATTTGTAAGATGACATTTCCCCAAGTGAGAACTATTTTCTTTATCTTGAGGTCATTTTTAGGAAGGGAGGGTGACAACAAACAATGAATTATCTTATAGGAAGTTTTGTTGTTTATAATAAAGCCGAGGTTAGATATATGCAGAAGTGTCTTTGTGGATCTCTTTTAGCTTCTGAAAGTCTCAATCCTCTGGATCCCCAGGGTAAAACATTTTTTTCTTCCACTGGTTGTGTTCCCTCCTATAATAGAGATGATAATGTTAGGGGCCTTGTTTAAATTTGAAAAGCTTAGATATCACTCACGAGCCTTTTGGCATTTTATCCTTTATAAAATAATTCATGTTTTAGAATAAATTACCCTTTGAAAATGTGGGATGACTTAGGTAGAATTTTGCTTTTAATTGGTGCCTGGATGAAGAGCTTTGGCCCTGAATTCCCTCCATTATATCAAAATAGGCAAGATAGGCAAGATCTTTTCTCTACCGGAGGAAAAGCAAATGGTAATCAGCTCTTTACAATGTTTGCAAATCAATATCTCCTTGGAATTTGGTTGGTTTTCAGTAAGGAGAAAGACTAGGTAGGTTAGAGAGGTCAGTAGAGAGAATACATCTATGACCCTTTCTAATTTTATTTTAAGGAGCTGCACCAGTAAGAACAGATTGTTAAAAAAAAAAAAAAGAGTAGTTTACTTCATCTTACACCTTCCAAAATAAGCATGTTTATTATATAGTTATAACATAGAGACTGCTGTTTTAAGTGATCCCTAGACTCCAGCATCTTATCTGAAGATCTGTGGTTATTTTAAGAAGGATTTAGGAGCCAGACATTTTAGAAACAAAGCCGGACTCAGTTGGCTGGGTTGCTCTCCCAGACGAGAGAAGGGCTAACATTTTGTTTGGTAACATTGTTAAGGTGCACCAGGATGCGGGGTGTCTTGAGGAGGAAGGCCCCCCGCGATGTATTTCTCCTCAGAAATCAGCGTTGGCTCTGGGTAGAATGTAAGAAAGATTGGAATGAATTTCAACCATCGTTTACAGAAGATCTTTAAAATTAGTTTAATAGCTGGTAATTAACTCCCTAGTTTATTATTTCTTCCGCTCTGTTGAAGGCTGAGCTCCTTTCTCATATACCAAGATCTGACATGAAATACTGACAACAGTCAGATGTCATGGAATACCCACCTTTGAGGCTTTTTTCTCCCCATTCATAATGCAGGAAAACAAACTTAGCAGTCGAGGTTGGCTACCCTAGCAATTTACTGCCTGGTGCTGGTCTTTCCGTGGTTAAGGAATGGAGGAGGGGGGAATGTCTAAAAATACAACTGCTTCCAAGAGAGACATTCAAGTTCTCGGTTCATGATGGATTAAGCCCCACTCTTTGTGAGAAGCTCAGAGCCCACAGGCTGGGAGCAGCCTGCCCTGCCGGGGACTCAGCCCAGGTACTTGACCCCCGTTCCCTCATTGGCAGGACAGCGAGCCCCCGACCTTCTTTTTCTTCTGCTTATTTATGTTGGAGTCACATGAGTGCAGCAGCTGGGAGTCCGCCTCTGGAAAGAAGACAGGCAGGACAGAAGTGAGGGCAATCCTGAACTTGTATTTTCTGGGCAGCGCATCCCATATAGCCAGTCCTCCCAGGAAAATGACTCCCCCGGACGGGTGTTCGGGAGACCCAGGCTCGGGGCATGAGTGATGGGGAAGGGGCAGTTCGGGGGTTGAGAAGAGACAGAATTGCTCAAAATGGCAGCACTAGAAGCAAACAATATCGCTCACTTACCCGAGAAGACTTGGGCAGTTCAGGGCCGGCGATCGGGCGCACAGGCGACACAAAGGAACCATGGAGAAACTTTTTCAGTCCGAGCCAGCCGCGGCGCGCAGGGACAGCGCCTGGGGCCCTGCATCCGCGCACGGCTCAGCAGCCCCGCGGGGGCGAGCGCCCGCCCCAGGTTCGCAGCCCCCTCCGACGCTGTGGCGGGAGCCATTTCCAAGAGTTTCCAAGAAGTGTCAGGTCCTCCGCATTCTGCATCCTGCCTGTAAGCCGCTTTCCCCGCCGCCGCCCCTCTACCCCTGGCGCGTGCCCTCCCGCCTCACTCGCCGGCCGCCCCAGCGCCTCTTTTGTGTGGCTGCGGCGCGCCGGGCTCCGCCGGGTGGAGTTGAGCCCGCGGCTGCTCGAGCGGCTCCGGGCGGCCGGACTGGCGGCTGTTGCTAAGAGACCGGAGCCATGACACAGGGAAATTGCTGCAGGCTGGCAGTCGGTACCCTGCCCGACTCTGTTCATCAGGGGCGCACCCGCCCCCCGCCCCGCCTCCCTGGCGCTCCCCCTTCGCCGGCCTCCCTCCACTCCCTCCCCCCCGTAACATACTTCCTCTGCAGCCCTCCGCACGTCCCTTCGGAAGAACCGCTTGAGGACCTGGAGGCTCGAGGGCAGACCGAGGAGGGGCCCGGGGTCTGGGGATGCGCCTGGGGAGGACAGGACTCAGGGCGCCTCGACCTCGGCCTTCCCCGCCCCTGGGGCGCGCGGAGACTGCTGTCCGTTTTCACTGGGAGCTTTGTTCTTTTTCTTCCAACTACCTGTCTGAGCATCGGACCGGAGAGGGCCCGAAGAAAGGGCCCCCTCTCCTGAGGGTCTCCCCGTCAGCATCCGAGGGGCGCTCTTGGGTGAGAGAGGGGTTAGTGCCCCCCCTTCCTCCCTCCCTTCTTCTCTCTTTTGTTGCTTCTACTCTTGGATACGCCACAGCCTTTGCTGTTGCCCCCCCTCCGCCCCCTATTTGTGTGTTTGCAGTGTGAACGCGCAGCGAACACAGTAAGTTGTCCCCAAGCAAACTCGGGTGCGGAGCGGAGCGGTCCCTGCCCGATTTGGGCGTAGCACGGGACTCGTAGCTCCCTGTCTCCTGTGCTCGCGCTTCAGTGAAGCCGGGCAGTGTGACCGGCCTCCTTGGGACCTCGGCTTTTCCTCTCCGGGTTCGGGCAGCTGGGGCTCGTCGGAGATTAGAATCGGTCTGGCTCTTCCCTGGGTAGCCCCTCCTGCTCCTAACTCTTGCGGTAATCAACAAGCATTAAATGGAAAACTGTAATTCCGCTGGGATCAGGGTGAGAATCAAAGAGGGGAGGCGGGGGTAGGGAGGATGTCCAAACTCCCTACGTCATTTTTAAAAAGCAAGAGGGAGAGAGAGATCCAGTTTCCCGGCTCATCCCTGGCCTCTCAACTGTGAAGTAAAAATGACAAGGAAAAGAGAATTTCAAAGTGGAATTTCCCCATGGAGTTATTGAGAAAGTAGGAAAGATTTCAATTATTTATTGAAGTGAGGCAGCCAGGATTCAGGAAGAAAGCAACAGAAGAGCAGATGAAGGAAGTACCTCTTAACTTTGGGGTCCAGACAGAAATGTTTTGGAGGATGCCTCTCCTATATTCTGAGTGTTGCTGTTTGAGGGGCCACAGAACCCACACAGGAGGGCTTGGTGCCTGTAGTTCCGGTAATAAGGTAGTTCCTCCATGTACATAACAGTCACTTGAGTTTAAAGCCAGAACATACACTTTTCAAAAAGAACAGTAAAAACAAACATTTACAGGTTCAAAAAGATAAACGTGGACAATGATATAGGAGGTGAGGATGGAGAAGGTAGGAAGACAGGAAGGGATGGAGGAGAAATGTTTCCCCAAAGGAACCCCTACACCTGCATGTTGGAAAGGTGGCCTCTGACACCCTTTCCAAGCCAATAATGAATCTGGATGATCAGGGTGTTCAGGACCCCACTCTTCCACTGGTCTATTCCTACTCAAGTGCAGAAGGCAAGAAAACAAGCCATAATGAAGAGAAAGTTTTAAATCCCACATTGGATCCTTTGCTT